CCGAAGGGTCAGTTGGGGCATCATGTAGCCAGCGGGCTGGAGGTGGCTGGTGTGTCGGGGAGCAGAGATGGGTAGCTGATGGATCGCACAGTTGGAGACAGTGTCAGGTGGTCAGCCTGACCAACACGCAGGGCCAGTCATAGGCTCAGCCAGACCATCAGAGGCTGGCAGGAAGCTCAGATGGCCGGTGGGCTGTTGGTCTGAGCAGAGCCACGCACCCGGTGGTTAGTCACTTGGGCAGTCTGATTATCAGGACGGCAAGCCAGGGACAGTGCAGGGAGCCATTTGGACTTAGGGCTGTCCTGCCTTGCACGGCCACACAGACTCTGTCGGGAGACCTCCAGATGCTCAGTGCCCAGAGACGGCCAAGCCCTTGGACATCCAGCCTCTCCATCCTCCCACCTGAACGGCCCGATGGCAGCCTCCCAGCTGGCAGCACTGGGAGGAATAGAGTCAGGGGCCGGGCAGCTGCCCCTGACCGAGGCCACTCCCAGCTTCCTGTATTCCGAGGGCCAGAGGCTGGCGCTGGAGGCTCTGCTGAGCCAGGGTGCAGAGGCGTTTGAGGCCTGCGTGCAGCGCGAGGGGCTGCGGCCCTTCCTGAGTGGAGATGAGCTCCGGGGCCTGGTGGCGGCGGCTGAGGACTGGACAGCAGCAAAGCAGGAGCCTAGCAGGGCAGCAGAGGGAGCCACTGCCACCGATGGGGACTTGGGCAGCCTGACCTACTGGCCTGGACAGTCAGAGGAGCCGGTGCCCATGTTGCGGCTGGGCTGGCCGGAGGACTCAGCCTGGAAGGGTATCACCCGGGCGCAGCTGTACACGCAGCCACCTGGCGAGGGCCAACCGTCCCTCAAGGAGCTGGTGCACCAGGAAATCCAGGCCGCCCACAAGGTGGGGGCCTCAAGTGCCTAGTGTCCCTTCCTCAGACCCGGTCATCCTCACACGCCAGCCCCCAGAGGTGGGAGTGAGCGCACATCACTTGGGAGCCAGGCATTCTGAGCTGTGCCCTCCTGGAACTTGTGTGTCCACATTCCTGGAACCCAGGAATCCACACCTCCCAGCCCCCAGGACTTGGGCATCCACACCCCCCAGATCTCATCCTCTCCCTCTTACATATGGGGGGGTTCCATCTTCTCCCCAGGACCTGGGTGCCTTAGGCATCCATGGCCCTTGGATCTACTTATGACCCCCCTGGTCTCAGTCATCTCCTCTACCACTTCCACCACCAGGGTGGAGGTCTCCATCCTCCTTTTCGGGGAGGGCCCAGATGTCTCCCCTGCAGCACCCCCTGGACAGCACTTTTTTTTTTAACAGTTTATTTAGTTACATATTTTATTTATTTATTTCATTTTATTTTCAACTGCGTTGGGTCTTCGTTGCTGCGCGCGGGCTTTCTCTAGTTGCGGTGAGTGGGGGCTACTCTTTGTTGTGGTGCGTGGGCTTCTCGTTGCGGTGGCTTCTCTTGTTGTGGAGCACGGGCTCTAGGCACGCGGGCTTCAGTAGTTGTGGCACGTGAGCTCAGCAGTTGTGGCTCGCGGGCTCTAGAGCACAGGCTCAGTAGTTGTGGCGCACGGGCTTAGCTGCTCTGCCGCATGTGGGCTCTTCCCAGACCAGGGCTCGAACCCGTGTCCCCTGCATTGGCAGGCGATTCTTAACCACTGCGCCACCAGGGAGGTCCCCCTCATTCTTTAACAATTTTTCTGTTACTGCTCCCGTGCTAAGTGCTTTATATGAGTTAACCTGCCTAATCCTCAGGAGGACTCTGTGAGGTCGAGACTTAATGCACCCATTGAGGAGATAGGGAAACTGAGGCATGGCAGATTGTCTCTTGCCTGTACGTGGCTGAGTGAGGACCTGAACCAAGGCTGTCTGGCCAGTGAGTCAGGGTTCATCACCACTACCTTTTTCCGCCTGCAAGATCCAGGCCTTCAGCACCCCCCAGTCCCCAGAGCTCACCTTGGTGGCCTGGCAGGTCATCCCTCCCGAGGACCCAGGTGGGCAGCTGCCCACAGTGCCCTGCAAGGGCCTCCAGCCCATTGACCTCTGGAGCAGGGCAGCCATGTAGTAGTGTCACAGCTCAAGGGATACGGTTGCAGACATGTGATTTATGATAACAGTTTTCAAGCAGTTAGAGGTGTGGGTCTCGAGGAAGGGCTGTTTTCTTCTCATTCACACATAGGCGCTGCATGAACATAGTGCATGTCTGGGGGGGTCTCCCCCTCAGGCTCCCTGAACATCCCATGGAGACTGGGCCCTTAAACTCTCCAGAGCACCTCACCCTCTGAATGTCCCCCTAAGCCCTAGGCTCCACCCACAGCCCCTCTCCCCACCCTCAGCTGGTGGCCGTGGTCATGGACATCTTCACTGACCCAGACCTGCTTTCGGACCTGGTGGATGCTGCCACACGCCGCTGGGTGCCCGTCTACCTGCTCCTAGACCAGCAGCAGCTGCCTGCCTTCCTGATTCTGGCCCAGCAACTGGGGGTGAACCCCTGGGCCACTGAGGTAGGGGCCTGGCAGGAGGGACCCCTGAGTCCCCAATGCCCTGGCACTGGGAGCATCAGGCGAAGACCCTTCCATGGGGTCCTGGGTCATCGAGGTGGATGCCAGCTGAGAGGGTCCCCTGAGATGTGATGCCCATGACAGGGTGGGAAACTGGGGTCAGCCTTCTCATGGGGTCCCTCTGAGTCAGGAATATCTGAGGCCCTGGGGAAGCTGGGACAGAACCTTCCAGAGTCGTGGGCCACTTAGGTAGGACCAGCCTGTAGGGATCCTGAGCCCTCGGCACTGGGTCGAGGTCTGGGGGGTCGGCCTGAGTAAAGGCGTGCCTCCCCCACCCCAGAACCTGGACATCCGAGTCGTGCGGGGCTGCAGTTTCCAGAGCCGTTGGTGTCGGCAGGTGAGCGGCAACGTGCGGGAAAAGTTTGTGCTGCTGGACGGCGAGAGGGTCATCTCAGGATCCTACAGGTGCGGCTACCCTCCCCTCACCACACTGCCCGGTCTCCTGTCCCCAACTCTCCCTCAGTGGCTTCAGACAGCAGTTGGCATCCCCTTTCCCAGACTCTCTTTCCTCATCTGTAAAATGGGTCTAAACCCCCTGCTCGGGAAAGGAGGCATCCTGTAGCAGAACAGGCTGGCACTGGCCCTGCTGCTGGGCTGTTTAGTGGCTTGCAGGTAAGTCTTCATCTCTGTGACCCCTGTGTTTCCTCATCTGGAAAACTGGGCTCTCACTTGGTATGTGGGAGTTTCCAAGCCAGGGGGACCTGGATTGAAGTCTGAGCTCTGCCTTGGGTGAGTAACTCCACCTCTCTGAGCATCTGTACAAAAATCAGAGCTGGTATGCAAATGGCCCAGCCCTCAGACCATCTCACGTCCCTCCTCTGCTCCCTTTGGGGTCTGATTGACCCAGGAACCTGGCTCCGTGACTTCTTAGTTCTGTGACATTGGGCCTTCCCCACTCTGAACCTCAGTTTTTCCCATCTGGAAAGTGTGAAAATAGCAGCATTTACTTCCTGGGAACAGCATGTCAAGGGGCACGTGGATTCTGGGTCAGATGGCCTGGGGTCAAATCCTAGCTCGGACAGTTACTGGCTGTGTGACTTTGCATAACTGACTTCCCCTCTTTGTGCCCCAGTTTCGCCCTCTAGACAATGGGATGGTTCAGTTAGTGCGTCTACAGCAAGGTTTCTCAACAGAGGTACTACTCACATTCGGAACCGGATGACTCTGTGCTGTGGGGGGGCTTTGCTGGGCTGAACTGCCCTCTACCCAGGAGATGCTGGTAGCATTCCCCCTTCCCCAAGTACAACTACGCAAACCGTCTCCAGACTTTGCCCGGTGCCCCCTCAGGGGCAGAAGTGCCCACTTGATTACCTTTGCTCTAGGCTGCTGGCTTTGAACCTTGAGCAGGCATCAGAATCACCTGGACGACTTGTTAAAAAAAAAAAGCAAACAGATTTTTGAGCCCTGCTCCTTTTCAGCCGGGCTGGAATGGGGCCCGAGAATTGGCATTTCTAGCAAGTTTCCGGTTGATGATACTGATGCTGCTAGCCCAGGGACCATACTTTGAGAACCGCTAGCACCAAGACTGGGAGGTTGGTTTTTTTGTTTTTGTTTTTTCTTTAAAGGGCTTCAAATGCTTGGCTTTTTAATCTATCTATCTATCTATTTGTTTATTTATTTATTTATGGCTGTGTTGGGTCTTCGTTGCTGTGCGAGGGCTTTCTCTAGTTGCGGCGAGCGGGGGCCACTCTTCATCGCGGCCTCTCTTGTTGCGGAGCACAGGCTCCAGACGCGCAGGCTCAGTAGTTGTGGCTCACGGGCCTAGTTGCTCCGCGGCATGTGGGATCTTCCCAGACCAGGGCTCGAACCCGTGTCCCCTGCATCAGCAGGCAGATTCTCAACCACTGCGCCACCAGGGAAGCCCTTTTTTTCTTTTTTTTTTGTCTGCAACGCGCAGCTTGCGGGATCTTAGTTCCCCAACCAGGGATTGAACCCCGGGCCCTTGGCAATGAAAGCGCGGAGTCCCAACCACTGGACCGCCAGGGAATTCCCGAGACTGGGAGGTTTTGAAGAGAATCCACGTTCCCAGCTTCACTTGGGGATTCAGTGAGATAACGATGCCTGGCACGGAACGTAAGAAGTGCTCCATAAATGTCAGCTGTCGTTTATTATTATTTGTTTTTCACCATATTTCATAGACTCTAAGGTGCCACCAAAGCAAAGAAACATCCTGATCAGAATGTGAAAAGATACGCGTCTTAGAACCAATGAAATACAACAGTACAGTCAAACCCATAGGGCCTGGTTCCCCACCACTAAATCAGGCCTGAAGATGCTTTGCCGAGCGCTGGGCTCTGGTGACAGCCCTAGAACGATGAGGCCAGGGCCACAAGGGGTTGTCCAGGGCCTCTGGCCATTTGACAGGGGAAGGGGATGGAGGCAGGGGGCATGGGGGGGAAGCGCAGGCGGGAGACTAGTCCTGGGCCCTGCCCTCCAGGTTGGTCACAGCAAATGTCGGAGCAATTGCAGCGCGCCCAGCGCCAGGCCGGTGGTGGCCCGTGCCATCCGGCCGCCTGTGGGGTGGGGGGTCCCGTTACACAGGTGGCCGGTGCAGCAGTCGGTGGTGAGGCTGTAGGTGACGCCCATGTAGCTGACGGGCTCCTCACGGCCACACGAGGTGGCTGGCACGCAGCCTTTGTTGGTGATGGGGCTGACGCCGGGGGCCACCCCATGGCCCGTGAAGCAGTCCTCGTCATCGCCGCAGCGCATGTGCATGCCGGGACAGATCGTGGAGTCGGTCAGCTCACAGAAGACGCAGTCCTTGGTGCCCGTCGTGCCTGGGGGCAGAGCCATCACCAGAAGCAGCAACCAGCCGAGGACCATGGTGGCCTGGCGGCGGTGACGGTGCCCAAGCCAGGCAGTAGGCTTCCTGGGCCTCCCGGAACTGCTGAATGGCACTCCTCACGCCCGCAAGGCTTGTACCCCTGGTTCTGGTCTCCCAGGATCAGCACCCGGCGTGTCCTCGGTTCCCAATGCTCCACATCCCTCTTGGAAACTCTGTTGTGACCACGGCTCTCCGGTCCTTGGGTCTCAGAAACTCCACCGGGATGGAGATGAGCCAGTGGCCGCTGCCTGACAAGAGACTTTGTGGAGCGGAATGGGGTGACCTCACAGACCCCACCCAGGGTTCCCATTGACTGCTCTGGGGGTGAGGTCATAGGTGGGGGAGGGGTGTCACAATCTGAGGGGCAGGCTGGCCAGCTGACCTGCTCGGGAGCAAGGACACTGCCACTCCACCTAGGTAAGGAGCCTCAGACCAACTTTCATCATCTCGGCCGCGAACTCATCCGCTCTGCTGGGCGCCGGGTGCTGTCCCGCCACGTGCAAGATACACAGCCCAGGGCGAGCCTGTTTTTCCGATGGGCAAACCGAATGAAGCTCAGGAAGGAAAATTGATATGTCCAAGGTCCCCTGAGCCAGGACAAGAGTCCAGGTTCATTTAATTCAAAAGAGAGCATTTACTGAGCACCTGCTGTGTACCAAGACCTGTGCTCAATGCTTTAAATCACAGCCACTGTGGTCACAGGGATAGTCAGGGCACAGCTCACCACGGCTCGCAGGCTTTTAATGCTGGGCACGTACCAGGCCCCGGGCATGAGGCCTGACCCATGTTCTCTGATTCTAATCTTCCTACGTTTTAGCTCCATATTACAGATGAACAAACTGAGGCAGGGAGCAGGCACACCTAGAGCCTGGCACACAGCAAGTACTTAATAAATGGCAATTACTGTAGGAAGCAGCTGAGTCTTCAGTCCCTGAGGGTGTCAGAATCCCATCTCTCTCCAGAGGGGGAAACTGAGGCATCCCTCTATGGGGACAAGGCAGAGGCCAGGTTTAAACTCGAGTCTGATTCCAGATGATCATTTAAGTATGTTAACTGATGTTGTCTTCACCTCAACCCTCTGGGGTAGGTACTTCATTGTTCCCATTCTACAGAGGTGCATGTTGAGGCCAGAGGGATGGCAGGACTTGGCGGAGGTCACAGAGCCCGCCCTGGGACCAGGTTGGGGCCTGGTGATGGGGGCCAGACCAGGCTTCTGGGGCTGCTTGGAGATCCTGACCCCCACCTCTGTGCCCCCCAGCTTCACATGGAGTGACTCACGCCTGCACCGTGGTCTGGTGACCCTGCTGACCGGTGAGATCGCCGATGCCTTCAGCCGAGAGTTCCAGACACTCTATGCGGCCTCCTGGCCGCTCCCGCCCGCGCCCACCCCGGGTCCCTTTGTCAGAGCCCTGGGGGGGTTGCAGCTGGCCTACAGCCCGCATCGCGTGGCCCGCCGCTGCTCCGTGGCCCCCCTGTCGCCGCCACCACTGCCTGATGGCTCGCTGGCCCAACGCCTGGCCGCCTGCCGAGTCTTCGAGGGGCACAGGCTGGAGACCCTGGCCAAGCCAGGGCCAGCTCTTAGCGACATCCTGAGGAGTGTACAGCGTGCCCGGACCCCCAGTGGCCCCCTGGCCCAGCCCAGCCGCTCCCTATGGGACCTGAGCCGCCTGGCCCAGCTGTCAGGCTCTAGTGACGGTGACAATGAGGTGAGACCTGGTGGCTGGCCTGAGAGAGAAGAGCTGGAAGAGGATAGAGGCGTGTGAGCGCCTGCGATGTGCCTGGCCCCGGGGGTGGGGTGGGGAAAAGCAAAACTGCTCCCCTGCGTTCATAATTGCATCGTCCGCTTCCTGTATACTTACTGTGTGCTGGGCAGAGACCCTGAGAGCCCTGGGTGTGAAACCTGGCAAGATACACCAACTGTGAGAGCTCCGGGCGTGGGAGGGGGAGAAATGCCTTCTCTGAACCTCAGTGTTCTCATCAAGGAAATGGGCTGAGCTAGTGTCCCCATCCTCTGTTTGCTTGGGAGGAGGAGTCAATGAAATCGAAAGAAATAGAATAACCACCATCATTACAATAAGTTCCCAAAGTGGAACTTATTTTGATTTCCTGATATCCTCCCAGGGCAATGAAGTGATACTCTTATTACACTCACTTTTATGGATGGGAAAGCTGAGGCTCAGAGAGGTTGTGTTTAACTTGCCCAAGTCAAAGCAACGATCTTTTGCGGGCACCTTGCCACGTGCCAGGCCCCGTGCCAAGCGCTTTCACAGAGGTGGTTAAATGTAACCCTATGAGGTGGATGTGATTACAGCTCTCCACCCACTCATTTCACAGATGGGGAAACTGAGGCACCAGGGAGGAATTGGACCTTAGCCCTGGTTGCCTCCCAGGCAAGACTTTTAAATGCTCTGCTTGCTGGCTTCCTGGATTCGAGTGTGCTAGGCATATTGGGGAGGGGATTAGGGAAGGTCAGGGGGGTCTCCCCTCCCTTCCCCCAGCTGCTTAGACACTGGGGTTCCAGCAGAGCCTGGCCCAGGTCTCTGGGGAACCCTGGGCGGGCCCTCAGTGTCCTCAGCTGTGAAGTTGGCTATGGAGAGGGTAAGAGCAGAGCCACGTGGGAGAAACCGGTGGATTCTCCTTGGATCCAGACAGACCTGGGGTCAGTTCCTCTGTGAGCTGTGCCCCCTCTGAGCCTCAGTTTCCCCATCTGCTAAGTGGGAGCTCAAGCACTCTCTGGAGGGTGAGGGAGAAAGTCCCAGGAATCATCTCCCTCCACCTGGGTCAAGGGGAGAAGAGGGATGGGCAAGGGCCAGGTCCTCACTTCTCCCCAATCCTGAGCCGCCCTCACCCAGCATCAACTCCCTTGGCAAATATTTGCTCCCCCAATGAAGCTGCCGGCTGCTTCCTGTTCCTCCCCCACTGCAAAGCTGCGCGTGGGGATGCAGCTCCTTGCCCCTTCTGTAGGTCTGGGCGTCCCTGGCCTCCCCACTCACTTCCCTCCTGGTTCTGGAGACCCCCTCGGAGTTTCACACCCTCCCCTCCGTCATCAACTCCCTCCAGTCTCACCTCCTTCCTCCTCTGGGCCCCCAAGTGCCTCCTCTCACCTCCCTCTCTTTCCCTCCACAGCTCAAGAAGTCCTGGGGCTCCAAGGACACCCCAGCCAAGGCTCTGATGAGGCAGCGGGGCGCTGGAGGGGCCCCCGGTGGTGAGGCGGACTCCGGTCCGCTGGCCCCGTCCCAGCCCTGGGGTGGCCCCTTGCCTCTCATCCCTGCTCGCCGCCTCCACTATCCGTCCCCGACCCGAAGGCGGTTTGGTGAAGATGCTGCCTCCAAACTCCCAGAACCCAGAGGCATCCGGCAGCCAGACTGGGCCACCCAGCCAGGACTCAGGGGGCGGCGCTGACAGGAGCCGAAGCCAAATGGGGCTGGCCCCGTCCCAGGACAGTCGGACAACTGTTGCTCAAAGCCCCCCTGCCTCACTGTTGTACCTTGAACAAGGCTTCTGGTCTCAGTGTCTGGGAAGTGGAAGGGATTTTTTTTTTTTTTCTTTTCACTTGTTCTAGAACTTGGGCAAGCCCGGCGCTCACTCTAGACCTCATTGTCACAGCCTAGAAAATGGGCATAAGGTCTCCACTAGCTGGCATCCTAGAACAGCACACATCGTGTTCCGGCCGGGTCAGAACTTCTCTGAGGAGAGGCCTGGCTGAGTGGCCCCCATGCTGGAATTGTGTGGAGTGAAGATGGGGCGTCCCTGGGGCTGAAGGGAGGCTTCCTGCACCTGCCATGCTCAGGAGCTGTGGGTAAACTGAGCTTGGCCGAGGAGAGGAGAGAACCCGACCAGGGGAGCTGAGCTGAATCATGAGGGGCCGGAAATTGGTGAGGACACGCCTGTTGGGGAACAGGTCAGGGCCATGGAGAGGGACCCAGCAGGTGCTGGAACTGTTTTGTGGGCGCGAAGGGGGGAGCTGTTAGGGCTGCCTTTTACCCCTGCTCAGAATAAAGCTGCTTCATGCCAGAAACTTGCATTTCCACAGTCTCATGGGAGACCCAGGAGTCCAGACCTGACCCCCTACTCCCTCAAACCCAGGAGTCCGGGGCCCCAACACCCTCCTCCCCAAGGACCCAGGGGCCCTGGTCTGCATCACTCTGCTTCCCAAGGATCCAGGAGTCTGGGCCGCAGCACCTTGACCCTAGGGCGGTCAGGTGCCCAGGGCTGGCCTCCCTTCCCCCACCTTTGCCTCTGGGAGAGGCTTCTGAATCACCGACCCCACTGGCGTGCCAGGTGGGTTAGCGGACCTCGCCCTCCCCAGGCCTTGGGTGCCCTGCTCGGGTCCCCACCCCGGCCTCGGTGGCCGGCAGAGGCGCCCCGTCCGCCCTCGCGCGCCCCCTGCCGCCCGCCTGCGGCACGCCACCTCCAAGGCGCATCGAGGAGCCGGGGCAGTAGCGATGCGTTTATTCTCAGGGTCACGGGTGGGGTGGCTCGGAGGCCTGGTCTGGGCTGGGACTCGGGTCGGGACTGGGGTCGGGGTCCGGACCGGCGTCCTCGGGGTCCACGTCCCAGGGGAAGGTCGGCAGCCCCCGCATCCGCTCGCGGTAGACTCGGTCAAAGGCTTCGCTCTGCGCCACCGTGAAGTGGTTCTTCCAGTCACCGCAGATCCCTGGAGGGAAGGGAGGGACGGCCGAGGTGAGGAGTATCCAGAGCATCGTCCCCCGCCCCCAAGATCCCAGCACCTTCTTTCCCACCTCCTGGCCTTTGCCTATGGCGTTCCTTTTGCAAGAAGCGCTGTCCTTCCCCCGGTCCCCTCCATCTCCATTTTTGCCCCTTTCCCTCCTGCGATGATGGCTGACACTTACTTACACTGGCCACCAGTCGCCTGGCCAGACCCCTGGGCGCCATTCTTGCCCCCTCCCTCCCTCAGCTTCCTCCTGCCCTACTCCTCCCTCCAGCAGACCTCCTACCTTCCTCCACCGACCTCTTAAATCTCTACCCAGAACATCCGCCTCCTCGCCCAGCATTCCTGCACATCCTTCCCAGCCCCTGTATCACCTTCCCTGTGCCCTGTCCCTCACCTCCCTTGCTAGAACAGGGCTTCCTCGCTCCAGTGTTCCAACGCCTCCACTACCTTCAGTATTGCTCTGACACTGGGAACCAGTGCTTTCCCTGCACTTAGTGGGGAAAGGGCATGCTGACGGTTTGCCAGGATTCACTCCTTAGCCCCTCACAGCAACCGAGGTGACTTTGCTAGTTCTCTGTGCCCCGAGGTGAGCACTCAGATCCCTCAAGTTTCTTATCGCATGGGATAACCAGGGCCACTAGCCTTTACCTGGAATCCTGGGGCCAAAGTCATTTGGATCACAGTATTTTTTTTTTTTAACATCTTTATTGGAGTATAAATGCTTTACAATGTTGTGTTGGTTTCTGCTGTATAACAAAGTGAATCAGCTATATGTATACATGTATCCCCATATCCCCTCCCTCTCACCCTCCCTATCCCACCCCTCTAGGTGGTCACTAAGCACTGAACTGATCTCCCTGTGCGACGCAGCTGCTTCCCACTAGCTATTTTACATTTGGTAGTGTATATATGTCCATGCTACTCTCTCACTTCGTCCCAGCTTACCCTTCCCCCTCCCTGTGGATCACAGTATTTTGAATTTTAACAAATATACCACATTACATGACACCCCTAGTGAGGTCTGGGGGGCTCCCTGTGGTGGGCTGAATAATGAGCTCCCACCAAGATGTCCACGACCTAACCCTTAGAACCTATGAATATGTGACCTGACATGGCAAAAGGGACTTCGCAGATGTGATTAAGTTAAAGACCTTGACGCTTAATGGCAAACATCCTTATAAGAGGATGCAGGAGGGTCAGCGTCAGAGAGTAGAAGATGTTTTTGAAGGTGGAGGAAGGGGCCATGAGCCAAGGGATGCAGGCGGGTCTGGAAACTGTAAAGGCCGGGAACCAATTCTCCCCTAGAGTCTCCAGAAAGAACACGGTACTGACACTTTAATTTTAGCCCAGTGAGGCTGATTTTGGACCTCTGACATCCAGAATGGTAAGGGAGTGAATGTGTGTGTGTGTGGTTTTCTTTTTAATCTTTTCTTTTTTTGGCTGCACCGTGTGAGATCTTAGTTCCCCAACCCCGGGGCCACGGCAGTGAGTCCTAACCACTGGACTGCCAGGAAATGCCCTGAATGTGTGTGGTTTTTTAAGGCACAAAGTTTGTGGTATTTGGTTCCAGCAGGAATAGAAAACTAATACACTCCCACCCTCAGCCTGTAATCCAACACTTGAATATTTCTGGGGTGAACTTTAATGCTAAGAAGGATTCACAAGGACTCCAGATAGCCTCATAGCGTTCAGAGCTGGCTATGGCAACGCCTTGATGCGTTTTCTTCCATGGGGAGCTCTCTGGGAGTGGTGGGTCTGAGACGGCAGGCACACCCGCAGCACCAGCTGTGTGCCAGGCCCCGTGCTAAGCCCTGTGTGTGGATTCATGGGTCCACAGTGACCCCATGAAGGTAGCTCTGTTGGAGCATCCCCATGTAACAGCTGGGGAAACAGGCCCAGAGAGGTTAAATAACTTGCCCAAGACACACAGCCAGGCAGTGGCCTAATGGGGCTTGGAACCCCAGAGTCCCCTCACCTTTCCGGAGGAAGGCACCGTGGCTCTGGTCCAGCAGGCTGGGGGGCAGCAGGGAGAAGTTGGACATGGTGTTGGCTTTCATGGCTTTGAAAGCCGAGTTCGCCACGACGGACTCCAGCGCTTCCTCGCCCAGCGGCCGGCCCAGGAACTGGCAGATGCGCTGCACGGAACTGTGGAGATCCTGGGGGCAGGGGAGAGGGGTCAGGGGATGAGTCAGCGGAGGGAGGGGAGCCCAGACCAGGAAGGAGCATCAGTCCCAGAGTTTATTTGCCTGACTCCCAACCCAGACCTGGAATCTGGGTGATTCTGCCTCTTTGCCTCAGTTTCCTCACCTCCAAGCCGAAGGGTTGGGCTATGGCCTCTGAAGGTTTTTGACAGTGTGGGGTTTTGGAGGGTTCTGTGGGTGGGAGGGAAGGGGTTGGCCTGGGTCAGAGGTCACAGCAGGGGGCAGAGGTCAGTCCAGCATCTTATGGAGAGTCACCCTCTTTCAGGTTTGAAACAGGTGTCTGTGCCCCAAACCTGCCCCCCACCCCAGGTCCCCATCCCAGAGCAGCCCCATCATTCACCCAGAGCCAGACTCCTGGCCCGACCTAACCTCCCCTTGCCCCTTCCCCCTGTTGCCCCTGTCAGTCAACAGCCCCGTCTCTCCTGCTTCAACTGTCTGCCATATCCCCTCCTCTGTGTCCCCACAGCCCCTAGCACTGGCCAGGCCTTGTCCTCTCCCTCTGGACCCTCGCCACACCCTCCTCCCCGGCCTCCCTGCCTCCAGTCCCTCACACCCAGAGCTCACCCTGCCCCTCCCCTGTTCCCAGCCCTCCTGTGGCTTCCCAGGGTCCCAGTCCTCAGGCCTGGCTTTTAAGGACAGGCATGGCCTGGTCTTTCCTCTCCTTCCCTGTGCTTTCCTCCCTGCAGGCCTTGGCACGGGGCTGCCAGGAAAGCCCTGCACCACCCTTCTCCACCTGGCGAACTTACCCATCCAGATGCAGCTCAAGTATCACCTCCCTCATGACTGATGGTTCAAGCCACTGTGGATTAAGCACCTACTGTGTACCGATCTCTAGTCCAAGCCCCTCGTGTATTTTGCCAATCCTCCCAATAGCCTGGCAGAGGGGTATCATTACCCCCATCAGTAAATGGAGGCCCAGAGAGGGGAAGACACTTTCCAGGGTCACACAGCCAAGGAGGAGCTCAGATTTGAGTCCCCAAAGCCCACAATCCTCTCTTCTATCTCCCTGACTTCCCTGATACGCAGCGCCCGGCACAGTCAGCCTTCTGGTCAGTTCCACCGACCCCACGGCCCTGATTTTCCAGGTCATTCTTGGTTTCATAAGCCTCCATCCCTTTATCCTCTTGAACCACTGACGTGACCCAGAAATACTAACATGTTGGCAGTTCCTCACACTCAGGGGCAGCCCAGAAGCTCGGTCAGGCTGCGTGGCCCAGTTTTTGGTTCAGAGAACAAAGCTTGATGGAAAACACAGGGGAGGGGTGATGCCGAAATCTTTTCTAGATCTTTCCATCAAAAGAGATTTACCAGGGTGGAAAAAAAATAAACCAAACCCATGGGGTCTGCAGTGAAGAGCTATGCGCCTCAGGCAGTTTCTCAACGCTCTCGAGGTTATAAGCCCCCACTTTCCTCCTCTCTAAAATGGGTGCGATAATAATATTGGGGTGAACCATTTAAAAATTACCATATTTTGCAGTTTGAGAGGCGGAAACATTGGCTATTATGGTTATTATTAATCAGATAGGCCCTTGCTCAGAACCTAATTACTCTTACTTTGGCACACTATACTAACACTTTGCTGTACCTTGTCAGACGGTTACAATATGCCAAAGCCAGGTACTGTGGTCCTTAACAACCCTCTGAGCCAGCATCTTCCACCCATTTTAAGGATGAGACCTCTGAGGCTCTGAGATTTTAAAGAGGATTTTAACGGCTTTTTGAACACCAAAATCCAGGCTCTTTCTGCTACACAAAGTACCAGCAAAAAGGAGGATACAAAAAATACATGAAATACACACACAGGAAGAGAACATGTCTGGGGCCGTTGGTGAAGGAACACGTATTGGGAACCGCTTAGATTCCCAGCCTCTCAGAACAGATCTCTGTTAAGAACACAGAAGAGTTGGACACGTTCACTGTGGATTGGTCCATCTGGAAGCCCAGCGTCCTCCTTACAGCCGGGCAAAGTCGTAGTCATTCTGCATGGTCCCTTCTTCCAGGCAGCCCTTCCTGATTGCCCCAGCCAGAAGGCCTCTCTGTCCCAGGTGCCTGCCCCAGGGATGTTTGACGGGGTCCAGACAGGCTCCCCGTCTGCCTCCAAAGGCTGTCTCCTTCCACTGCTTCCCTCTGCCTTTCAGGTCACAACCATAGTGAAACCATCATCACTTCCCATGGGTCACAGTTTTGTATCGTCTCATTTAACCTATCACGTCCCCTGCTCAGAGGCCACCTGTAGCTCCCACCTACTCAGAGAAAAGCCAAAATCCTCACTGTGGGTCCCATCCCCTCTGTGCCTTCATTTCCCACCCTACCCCCTCTCAGCTCTGGCCACTCCAGCCTCTTTGCTCTCCTTGGAGCACATCAATCACACTCTCACCTCAGGGCCTTTGCACTGGCTCTTCCCTCTGCCCGAAACACTTTTCCCCAGATAGCTCCATGGCTCTCCCCTGATCACCGTTCTGAAAATCGTGCCCACACACATTCCGAATCCTCCTTCCCCACTTGCCTTTTCTCCTTAGCTCTCTGCCATCTGGGAAGGGGAGCTGGAGGGCGTGAAGAAGGGAGGAGTGAGGGGGCGCTGGGTGGAGGTGCGGGAGGGGGAGTCACCTGCTGCAGCTCCTCGTAGGTGATAAACAAAAAGTTCTCTTTGCCCCGCATCCGAATCCAGCCCTTAATGTGGTCGAACCAGGAGCCGAACTGCACTGAGGGCAGAGAGACAGGCAGGGTGAGGGATGGGCAGCTGGGCCACCCCCCGCTGGGGCTCAGAGGGGCCCAACTAGCCCCACATGGCCCCAGGCTTTGGCCCCTTAGAGCTGGTGGCCTCCCTCCAAGCTCCCCATCCCTGCCTCTCCCCAGCTCCTTCTTATCCCTCCTCTGTCCACTAGGGGGCTCCCCCCACCTCACTCTGCCCCAGTCCTCACCTTCGCCTTTGAGGAAGTTCTTCAGGAACTGGTCAGGCGTGCCAGGGTCCTTCAACTGCCTGGCGATCTTGGAGTAGTGATAGAGCGAGACCACCACGTCCCGGGGGTTCCGGCCCATGTAGATCACCTGTGTGTGGGTGTTGGGAAGAGGGGAGAAGATGTCAGACCCCGAGGTTTCGTGCCCTCGAGACCTCTCTCTTCTGATCCTGCAGCAGGACGGACTCAGGGTAGACTTCTCAAGGGACTTCCTAGCTAATGGGAGTTCAGATCAGTTCACCTCAATCCACAGGAGAGGAGAGCTCCCTCCAACCACATTCTAGGAAAAGAGAGGGACTGTTTCAAGACCAGGTGGAGGGACAGTTTGGCTTCAGGAAATAAAGAGTGGAGGAGGAAGGCCTGGAGTTCAGGGTAGGGGAGATCATGGTGAGGGGTGTTGACCAAGAGAAGGACAGCCACCCTTCCTTCCCATTCCTGCAGAGGAGGCCCCAGCCCCCTCCCTTGCCTCCCAGCCTCCACACAGCCCCAGAGGGCCTTTCTGTACCCAGAGCTGACCGTGCCCTCCTCGGCTCTCCAGCGCCCCAGAGTGGAGTCCCAGACCCTGGGTCTGGCATTCAAGGCCCTGATGACCTGGTTCCAATCTGTTTACCGGCGTGATAGTCCACAACTAACCCCACTCCAGCCGCATCAGATCTGTCCTTCCCCAGGACCAAGGTCAGCCACCCAGGTGGTCAGCCATGGCTATGTGGCCAACCTCCAACAAAAACCCTGCATGCCGAGGTTCGGGTGAGCTTTCTTGGTGATACTCCGTGTGTGTTGTCACATGTCATTGCTGGAGGACTGAGCACTGTCCATGCAGCTCCACTGGGAGAGAGATAACTTGAAGCTGGTGGCTGGTCTCACCCTCCCCCAGGCACCTCTTCCCTTCATCTTTTTTTTTTTTTTTTTTGCCTCGCCACACGGCTTGTGGGATTTTAGTTCCCTGACTGGGGATTGAACCCGGGCCCTAGGCAGTGTGAGCACAAAGTCCTAACCACTGGACCGCCAGGGAATTCCCACCTCTTCCTTTCATTGACCTTAATCTCTATCCTTCCTCCGTGATAAGCTATAATCGTGAGTATAACAGCTTTGCTGAGTTCTGGAGTCCTTCTAGTGAATCACTGAGCCTGAAGGTGGTCTTGGGGACCCCTAGATTGCAATCTGATCTCTTCTCTGTCTATACTCACTTCCTTCCTTGGTGATCCCACCAGTCTCCTGGCTTTGATTTCTCTGTCTCTGTCTCTCTGTCTGTCTCTGTTTCTCTCTGTCTCTGTCTCTCTCCATATATATATATATACACATCTCAATAGGTTGCAAATAGATGTGTCCAGCCCACATCTCTCCTGTCAAATCCAGATTTGTCTATCTCACTGCCCATTGGCATCCTCCACCTGGGTGTCGATGGGTCACAGCAGAGCCATCTTCCTCCCAAACCTCTCCTCCGCAACCTCTCCGTCTCAGTTCATGGCAGCTCCATCCTCCCAGTTGCTTAAACCAAACCCCCTGCAGTCACCCTTGACTCATCTGTTTCTCTCACACCCACATCCAACCTGCCAGCCACTCTTCCTGGTTCCATCTTCCAAATACACTCCAAACCCAGCCCTTTTTCTTCACCTCCCTGTGGCCACCACCCTGTTTGCCTCCATTGTCACCTCATCCCTGGCACCTGGCTTCTGCCCTCACCCTGATGGTCTGTTCCCTGACTTGCAGCCAGAGGGCGCCTGTGAAAACCTAAGTTGCATCCTGTTTCTCCTTGGCTCTGAGCCCTCCCCTGGCTCCTGTCTCAATCAGCGACAAGCAAACTCCCCACCGAAGTCCACACAGCCCTGCACATTTTGGTCCCTGTTACCTCTCTGACCTCATCTCTCTTCCTCTCCCCCTTGCTCACTTAGATGCAAGCACACAGTCCTCCTTGCTGGACCTCAGGCATGCCACATCGACCCCAGGGCCTTTGCACCTGTTCGTGCCTCTGCCGGGAATGTTCTTCCCCCAGACCCCCGCTTTGGCTTCCTTCCCTCACCTCCCAGGTCTTTACTCAAACCACGCCTTCTTACTGAGGCCTCCTTTGACCACCCTATTTATAATTGCAACCCCTACCCCTAGCTCTAACCCCCACGTTCCCCTCCTTCTCGATGTGAACTGATCACCTTGGATGTATTCAATCTTTTCCTTATTTACTCCATCTATTCTTTGTCCCCTTTAGAATGCGGGCTCATAAGGCAGGTGTTCCTTGTGTGTGTATTTGCTGCTGTTCTAGATCAGGGCCGGGCACACAGTAGGTCCTCAATAAATAGGTGCTGAGTTCATCAGTTAGTTATACTTTGCCCCACCAACACACACTCCCCTCCATCCTCCCACACCTTGGCCTTGGAGTTGAAGAAGGCCCTGGTGAAGAGCTGGATGGGGAGGTGAGAACTCATGAGGCGAGGGCTGGGCTGGTCGGGGAGGCTGAAGGCACCCATGATGGCCTCACACCAGGGCGACCGCTTCCAAATGGGCACTGAGCGGATCCAGGAGGGGTCCCCGTCCTTTAGGATTAAGCTGAGGATCTCAATCATCCAGTTTGTGCCTGTTGGAAGAATTGGGCAAATTAATCAGAGGTGGGGAGGGGTGAAGGGGGGATACAATCAAATTCATAATGGCTGCATTTATTGTACAATTTGCTACATATGTTTAATGCATGGATTCCTCACACAGCACAGAAGTTAGGATTGGTTATGTTTTTTTAAAATTGAAGTATAGTTGATTTACAATCTTGTGTTAGTTTCAGGTGTACAAAAGTGATTCAGATATTATATATATATATCTTTTTCAGATTATTTTCCATTGTAGGTTATTACAAGATATTGAATATAGTTCCCTGTGCTATACAGTAGGTCCTTGTTGTTTATCTCTTTTATATATAGTAGTGTGTATCTGTTCATCCCAGACTCCTAATTTATCCCTTCTTCTTCCCACTTAGGGTTGGTTATCTTTATTTTCAAAGCAGGAAATTGAAGCTCAAAGAAACAAAGTTGCTAACTAAGGCGGCAAAGCTTGGAAGTGGCAACTGTCCACCCAACCCCATTTCGTTTCTCTACCGGGAATATAACAGGACGACATTTTTCCAGCCTCCCCTGAAGCTACACGTGGGACCGTGTGACTGAGTTCTGGCCAAGGAAGTGCAGTGGCAGCCATGTGCAGCCATTTCCAGACTTGGACCACAAACACCGGCCACGTGACACCTCCTCTCCACCCCCCCACCCCCACCCCCGCCCCCTGCTGGCTGAGTGCAGAGATGCCAGTGGAAACTGGGGCTCCTGGGGATGGCAGATCCATAAGATGGAAGGAGCCAGGATGCTGGAGACTGCATGGATTTCCCCCTCACTTCCCCCCATCTATCCAGCACTAGGTGGAATTTACAGGAATGAGAAATAAATTTCTTGTTTTTTTTGGCGGCGCCACGCAGCTTGTGGGATCTTAATTCCCCGACCAGGTATTGAGCCCGGGCCCTCGGCAGTGAAAGCATGGAGTCCTAACCACTGGACTGCCAGGGGATTCCCAAGAAATAAATTGCTATGGGGTCCAGCTTCTGAGATTCTGAAGCACTCCATTAATACATAGAGGAAGCTGGAACTGAATTCAGGTGGCTAGACTTAAAATCTCAGCTCTTTTCACTGCCCTTTCATGGGAGTAAGCCCTTGATTTCTTAAGGGAGCCACAAACGTCACATAGTAGGAAGGGATCGCATCCATGACCCAGTTCACAGGTCTGGATTCCAGGAGATTACAGGTAGGTCAGATGAGAAATAATCGTAATGTGAACAATCACCTGGTATTAGTATTATATTGTCCTGGATTCTAAGAACTACCCCGTGCCAGTTCCCAGTGTATTGCCTCTCAGCTCCAAATCCACTCCTGGTTGCCCTGCTTTGTGCCATTGGAGCTGTGTAAGCGGATCTCCTTTGCCACCTAGCGCAATGTGAAGCTTTGTCAGTAGAGGGCGCAGAGGAACCCTGCAGAAGGATGGGGTTTCTCTTCCTGGTTCTCCTGGGCTTCTCCCAGCCAGCTCTTGTGATGGACAGCGGCCAGTAGTGCAGTAGACCCCAGTGACACTCACTCCCCCTCACCCCGCCCCGCATCCCAAAGCACATTTCCTTGGGTGCTCTCTGCTTCCGTCCTAGAGGGAGGGGCTTCGCCCCGTATTGGCTCTTCCTGTATTGTTTAGGGTTCTCTTTACCCCTTGGTGTTTTAATCCCCTGTTACCACTTAATAATTCTTTTTTTGTGGGTATGTGGCAAAAGATACCTAACATGAAATTTACCAATTTAACCATTTTTAAGAGTACGGTTCTGAGGCATTAAGTACATTCACATTGTTGTGCAAACATCGCTACTACCGTCTATCACCAAAGCTGTTTCAAACAAAGCCTGCTGTTTGGGGAACAGATTTCCACAACTTCTGTGGAGGGAAATTTGGCTATATTCATCAAAATTGCAAACGCACAGAGGCTCTGACCAAGCAATTCCATATCTAGGGATTTGTTCTACAGATAAACGCATACGTGTGCAAATGACACTTGCACAAGATGTGGCATTGTGTGTAAAGTTTATATGGTGTATAAATGCAAAAGACTGGGGACTTCCCTGGTAGTGCAGTGGTTAAGAATCCGCCTGCCAATGCAGGGGACATGAGTTCGAGCCCTGGTCCGCGAAGATCCCACATGCCGCGGAGCGACTAAGCCCCCACAGCTACTGAAGCCCGTGTGCCTAGAGCCCCTGCTCTGCAACAAGAGAAGCCACCACAATGAGAAGCACGTGCACTGCAGTGAAGAGTAGCCCCCGTTCACCCCAACTAGAGAAAGCCCAGCCCGCGTGCAGCAAGGAAGACCCCAACGCAGCCAAAAATAAATAAATAAATTTAAAAAAATAAATAAATGCAAAAGATTGGAAACCAGGAAAAGCTAATCAGTAAGGAACTAGTTAAACAAGAATTCTTGTACATCTAATGTTATGCGATACTATGGAACTGTAAGAAAAACCAAAAACCAGGAAGCTCTTTGTTTACAGTTCTAAGATGGGATGATATCAAAATACAAGGAAAAAGAAGGCACAACCATAAAACAAAACAAAACAAAAACATGAGGCAAAATGGCGTGTATCGTGTTAACTTTTGTGGGAAAAAAGTTAAAAAAAAATATGTACACTTTTTTTTGTACATACAAATTCTGGAAAGATACACAGAGACTACTGGTGACTGTGGGAGAAGAGAGATATTACAGTGTAAACCTTTTTGTACCTCTTGAATTTTGAACTATGAATGCATTACTTTCTAAGAGAGAAATTAAGATATTTTAAACTTTAAAAAATAGCTAGAATAACTGGACAACCATATGCAAACAAAGAACCTTGATCTATACCTCATACCACACATAAAAATTATCTTAAAATAGATCATAGACTTTAGTGTAAAATCTGAAACTGTAAAGCTTCTAGAAGAAAACATAAAGGCCGTCTTTATGCCTTTGGTTTAGGAAAAGATTTCATAGCTGTGACATCAAAAGTCTGATCCATTAAAGAAAAAATTGACAATTGGAGCTCATCAAAATTTAAACTTTTGCTCTGAGAAGACACTGAAAAGAAAATGAAAAGACAAGCCACAGACTCGGAGAAAATATTTGCAAAAGGCATATCTGATAAAGGATGTGTACTCAGATTATATAAAGAACTCTCAAAACTCAATAATTAGAAATCAAACAACCCAGTTTAAAAGAGCAAAAAAAAAAAAAAAAGTGGAATAGACACATTACCAAGAAAGATAGTGATGGCTAGTAAGCCCCTGAAAAGATGCTCAACATCATTAGCCACTAGAGACATGCAAATTCGAACCACAATGAGATACTAGAACACATCTGTTAGAATGACTTTTTAAAAAACTTGACAATATCAAGTGCTGACAAGGAAGCAGAGCATCTGGAACCCACCTATGTTGCTGGAGAGAATGCAAGATGGTAAAACCAGCTTGCCCAAAAGTGCAAGATGGTTTCCACTATGGAAACCAGTTTGACAGTTTCTCATAAAGTTAAGCATACGTAGTTCCCATAAACTCAGCAACCCCACTTCTAAGTATTTACCCAAGATAAACGAAAACGTATTTCCATGCAGAGACTTGTGCACAAAGCTTCATAGCAGCTATATTCATACTCATCCCAAACTGGAAAAAAAACCCAAGTGCCCTTCAACAGATGAATAGATAAACCCACCGTGGTCCATCCAGCTGATGGGATACTCCTCAGTAATAAAAAAATACAACTTGGATGGATCTAAAATGCATTATGCTGAGTGAAAGAAGTCAGTCTCAAAAGCTACATAGGGTACAATTCCATGTATATGACATTTTGGAAAAGCCAAAACTATTGGGGCCGCAAACAGATCAATGGTTGCCCGGGGCTGGGTTGAGGAAGGAGCTGACCACAAAAGGGCGTGAAGGGCTTTTTTGTTTGTTTTAGATGGGTGATGGAACTGTTCTATATCTTTTTTTTTGGCCATGCCACACGGCTTGCAGGATCCTAGTTCCCCCACCAGGGATTGAACCCAGGCGTCCTGAAGTGGAAGTGTCAAGTCCTAACCACTGGACCACTAGGGAAGTCCCTGAACTGCTCTATATCTTGATTGTGGTGTATCTTGTATATGTCTCTCAAAACTCATAGAACTCCAAGAGAAATGAAAACACGTCCACAGACAGATTTGTATATCAATGTTCCTTCAAGCACTATTCAAAGAGTCAAAGAGTGAATACAACCCAACTGATTGTTTATCAACTGATAAATGAATAAGCAGAATATAGTATAACCATATCATGGAATATTATTTGGCCATAAAAAGGAATGAAGCACTGACAACAACTTGGATGAACCTCAAAAACATTACTCTAAGTGAAAGATACCAGACACAAAAGATCGTGTATTGTATCATTCCATTTATCTGAAACGTCCAGAACGGGCAAATCCGTACAGTGAGAAAGCAGATACCTAAGGCTTAGGGATGTGGATGTGCAGATTGGGCAGTGATGGCTAATGGATACGGAGTTTCTTGTTAGGGGCGATGAAAATGTTCTAAAGTTGACTGTAGTGATGGTTGCACAACTTGGTTGAATATACTACAGCCATAGATTTTTACACTTTCAAATGGGTGAATTGTATGGTATGTGAATTATTTTTTTTTTAATGTTACCAAAAAGCAAAAAAACCCTCATCGAACTCTATGCTGGAAAAGGTGAATATAATATTTGGAAAATTTTCAAAAATATTTTGAAAAACATTAAGAAGGCAGCTCCAACATTTTAGAGAAGAACTCCCCCACCCCCTGCCACCGGGCCTCTCCTGTCACTCCCTCCACCTCAGTCCCACTGACCTTCTCTTGCTTCCTCAAACTCACCGAGCCACCTCCCACCTCAGGGCCTTTGCACATGCTGTCCCTCTGTCTAGGATACCCTTTCCCACTCAAACCGCTCTGCAGATTCCAACTCTCTGCATGAACATCTTCTCCCCAGGAAGCCTGCCCTTATCCCGCAGACCTTCTTATTACCTACACTTAATGCTCTCTTCACCTTTCCTTGGGGGGGAGGGGACCCACCCTAACCCTAATTAGATGGTAATATAGGCGACTGCATGTTTAAATGAAGCCTGTATCTCTCAACAAATGTCTCCTTTGTTCAGAGCTGTGTCTCTGCACGTGGTAGACAAACAGTAAGTAGCATTTCAGTAACCGAATGGAGAAAATTAAGATCTTTCTTTCCTTCCTTCCTTCCCTCCTTCCTTCCTTCCTGAAATATTTATTGAATAAGTTCCAGGCACTGTTTTAGGTTCAAAGAACACAGCCGCGATCAAGACAAACCGGAATATCTGCACTCACTGAGCCATGTTCTAGTGAGGAAACCAGACTAAATCAACAAATGAAAATATGATATAGTGGCCGTCAGTGAAGAAAAATACGAGGGGAGTTAAGGGATAGAGAGGGACAGGATGGGGACGCTATTTTAGCCAGGGAGGTCCGGGAAGTCCTCCCAGTGGGTGTGAGAGCCAGCCTGGTGGAAAGGAGGGAGCGAGGCACACAGGGATCTGGGGGAAGGGTGCCCCCTGGCGGAGGGACCTGCCAGTGCAAAGGCCAAGCTCACCTCGGTTCTGAATGGACCAAGGCGTCCCCCATCCGCCCCACCCCTCCCTCTTTCCTCTTCCATTCTCCTTAGTGTACCCTTCTCATCACCCACAACATTCTCCGTAGCACCCCTGCCCCGGCCCAGCGGGTACCTGACTTGGGGTAGGTGATGATGAAGATGTCATCGTCCTGCACTTCCGAGTTCTCTGCGATGCTGATGCTCTCAGGTGAGTAGATGCCGACGGGGAAGAGGATGCCTTTATACCTGAAGTATTCGCCTGACAAATTCTGGCTGTAGGAGGATGGGGGAGAGACACCTTAAGGACCGGGAAGGAGGCGAGGACAGGTGTCACCCCTGGGAGAGTGGGGGGCCAGGGGCCTGCTTTTTTTTTTTTAAGGTCGGCTGCAGGCGGGATCTTAGTTCTCCGACCAGGGATCGATCCCGTGCCTCCTGCAGTGGAAGCGCGGAGTCTTAACCACTGGACCGCCAGGGAAGTCCCACGGGGCCTGCATTTGAGTGTCCTTCGAGGTCCCAGGAACCTGCACAAGGGTCCAGCTTTACAGCTGAGGCCTCCAGGACAGATGGCGGCAGAAAGTGGCGGAGGGATCTTGGGGCAGGTGACGGAGGGCGAGCAAGGAGATGGGCGAGGTGCACCCCGCTCGCTGGTGGAACACTGGCAAGGAATTTTCTCTGCGCCCTTTTCCTCATCTGCAAAGTGAGGATGGTTTACTAACACCCCATAACAATCCTATGAGGTGACAATGATTATTATCCCCATTTTCTGGATGAAGGAAGCGAGGCACAGAGAGGTTGAGTGACTTGCCCAAAGCCACACAGCTGGCGGGACAAGCAGCGCTTCACCTCTGCAAAGTGGGACTAAGTGCTTTCCACACGTTTACTCTTCACCCCAACCCTCCAGAAAGGCACCACCCCCCATTTTACAAACATAGGCCAAAGATTCAGGTGCCCTGCCCATTCCTAAGCGGCCACAGAGCGGCAGGGCCGCCTGCGAAAACCAGGTGTGGAGTCCCTGGGAAGCTGGGGCAGTCTTAAGCTTCAAGCCCCTCACTCAAGCTGCTTTTCCCAAAACCCTGCAATGTTCACATAACCATACAAGGAAGTACAGTTTTCCAAAGTGAGATGTATTGAGAACAATCCGTTTAATTCGATCACTCTTGCCTTTGCAGCCTCCCTCGAGATCTCCTGACCCTGGTGTGGGAGAGCGATAGGTGTTTTGGGGACCTGGCTAAGGTAAAGCTGAGTTGGGGATACATCTCATCGGACTTTCCTGGGATATTTACAAGGTTTGCGGTCATGTCTGTGTGTAGTTATGGGATGGCGAGCTGGCTGGGTGCAGGATTTGCTTCTGGGACACTAGTTGGGCGCAAGTAATGACAGGAAGGCTGGGGACACGGAAGTCGGATCACGCTATCACATGCCCAGGGGCGCTTGGCACCAAAAGTATGGGGTGGAGGAGAAGACTCAGGTTTGAAGCCAGAAGCCGCTGCGTTATTTTTCTGGAATATTTGGAGTGTTTGCCAGCTTTCAGAATGAGACAAGTCACTGTAATTTCTTTTCTCGTTCTAAACAAACATTTCTTCCTCCTAATGTTGCAGTCACACGTACTGATTCTTTCTTTCTTTTTTTTTTTTTTTTAAATTTATTTATTATTTTTGGCTGTGTTGGGTCTTCGTTTCTGTGCGAGGGCTTTCTCTAGTTGCGGCGAGCGGGGGCCACTATTCATCGCGGTGCGCGGGCCTCTCACTATCGCGGCCTCTCGTTGTGGAGCACAGGCTCCAGACGCGCAGGCTCAGTAGTTGCGGCTCACGGGCCCAGCCGCTCTGCGGCATGTGGGATCCTCCCAGACCAGGGTTCGAACCCGTGTCCCCTGCATTGGCAGGCAGACTCTCAACCACTGTGCCACCAGGGAAGCCCCTTGCTTTCTTTTTTTAAAAAAAAAAAATTATTTATTTTTCTGGCCGCGCCAGGTGGCTTGTGGGATCCTAGTTCCCAGACCAGGGATTGAACACGGGCCCCCTGCAGTGGAAGCGCAGAGTCCTAACCACTGGACTGCCAAGGAATGCCCCTGATTCTTTTTCTTAAGGGGAATCCCTTCAAAACAGTATAAGCTTCAGGCCCCATGAAACACGGATTTGCCCATTCTTAGCCGTTACTCGGTGCTAATTTCCATTTGCGGTCCTTTCTGGTACACTTAGGACAATACATCGAACTGGGGGAAAAATTATGCGTGTAAGTGGGTTATACTGTCTGTGGATTTCATTTCAGGATAGTGAAGAGGATTTATAGATATTGTGAGGATTTATAAAGAGGGCTAGGGTCCAACCACACAGGTAAAACTCAGAAACAAAATGTTGAACGGAGGATGAAGGACACAAGAGAGTCTAGATGATATGATTCGAATTAGGGGAAGTTCAAACACAGGGACAAATCACCTATGATGTTAGAAGGCAGGAAGATGCTTACCCCTGGGAAGTGGGGGCAGATGGGGGCGGAGCTGGTTACAAGGCATGCCCTCTGCAAAATTCCTTGGGCAATTGACTGAAGCTCTGTTCACAGCACTTGTGTTTTACTTTAATAAAACTTGCAAAGCACATATGATCACCTTATCTTTGATAAAGGAGGCAAGAATATACAATGGAGAAAAGACAGCCTCTTCAATAAGTCGTGCTGGGAAAACTGGACAGCTAGCTACATGTAAAAGAATGAAATTAGAACACTCCCTAACACCATACACAAAAATAAACTCTAAATGGATTAGAGACCTAAATGTAAGACTGGACACTATAAAATTCTTAGAGGAAAACATAGGAAGAACACTCTATGACATAAATCACAGCGAGGTCCTTTTTGACCCACCTCCTAGAGAAATGGAAATAAAAACAAAAATAAACAAATGGGACCTAATGAAACTTCAAAGCTTTTGCACGGCAAAGGAAACCATAAACAAGACGAAAAGACAACCGTCAGAATGGGAGAAAATATTTGCAAATGAAGCAACTGTCGAAGGATTAATCTCCAAAATTTACAAGCAGCTCATGCAGCTTAATATCAGAAAAACAAACAACCCAATCCAAAACTGGGCAGAAGACCTAAATAGACATTTCTCCAGAGAAGATATACAGACTGCCAACAAACACATGAAAGAATGCTCAACATCATTAATCATTAGAGAAATGCAAATCTAAACTACAATGAGGTATCATCTCACACCGGTCAGAATGGCCATCATCAAAAAATCTACAAACAATAAATGCTGGAGAGGGTGTGGAGAAAAGGGAACCCTCTTGCACTGTTGGTGGGAATGTAAATTGATACAGCCACTATGGAGAACAGTATGGAGGTTTCTTAAAAAACTAAAAATAGAACTACCATAGGTCCCAGCAATCCCACTACTGGGCATATACCCTGAGAAAACCATAACTCAAAAAGAGTCATGTACGAAAATGTCCATTGCAGCTCTATTTACAATAGCCAGGACAGGGAAACAACCTAAGTGTCCATCGACAGATGAATGGATAAAGAAGATGTGGCACATATATACAATGGAATGTTACTCAGCCATAAAAAGAAACGAAATTGAGTTATTTGTAGTGAGGTGGATGGACCTAGAGTCTGTCATACAGAATGAAGTAAGTCAGAAAGAGAAAAACAAATACTGTATGCTAACACATATATATGGAATCTAAAAAAAAAAAAAAGTTCATGAAGAACCTAGCGGCAGGAAGGGAATAAAGACGCAGACCTACTAGAGAATGGACTTGAGGACACAGGGAGGGGGAAGGGTAAGCTGGGACAAAGTGAGAGAGTGGCATGGACATATATACACCACCAAATGTAAAGTAGATAGCTAGTGGGAAGCACAGGGAGATCGGCTCAGTGCTTTGTGACCACCTAGAGGGGTGGGATAGGGAGGGTGGGAGGGAGGGAGACGCAAGAGGGAAGAGATATGGGGATATATGTATATGTATAGCTGATTCACCTTGTTATAAAGCATAAACTAAAACACCGTTGTAAAGCAATTATACTCCAGTAAAGATGTTAAAAAAAAAACTTGCAATGAATGAATAAAACATTAAAGGGAAAAAATTACGCTTCCCACTAAAACAACTGTTTTTAATAAAAATGAGGCGAGGGGAAAAAAAAATCGAGACGAGGTGCTGGGCCCAGTGAAGGTGAAAGCCCAGCTGTCTTGCACAGGCCTTTTCTGTTAGCTTTCCCTCGTGCGCCCAGTTGACAGATGAGGAAACTGAGGCCCATTGAAGGCTGTGACTTGCCCAGGGATCTCCCAGTGTCTTTCCTGAAGGCCTCCACCAGCTTCAGAGATTTGAGGGATGGGGAATTTCTCCAAGGCTTGGCACCAGGCTCAGGCTTGCAAGAGAAGGACAAAAGCTAGAGAATTGTTTCCTCTGCCTGGAGTCAAAGGAGGGCTCTGGGGAGCCCAGGTAAGGCTCAGCCCAGCCAGGGTTTCCAAAGGGCAGTGTCCCAAGGTGGGGCTGGGGGGAGGCTACGGAGGAAGCTGGCATGTGGGCTAGGGTCTGTTGGAAAAGGCCCCCTTTGTTCCTGGCTGGGGGATGTTCCCGAGGGGACCAGGAAGGAAGGGCTGGTCACCTCAGAGGGATGGTGGCAGGGGCTTTGCAGGCCCTGTTTCTAAGTAACCTAAGTAGGACAGATGTGAGAAAGGTGTTTCTGGAGCTGGACATTGCAGGCTCAGAGTCTGGCTTTGGCACTCTCTAGCCAAGCTGAGGCCTGGGGCTTAATCTCTCTAGGCCTCAGTTTCCTCAACTGTAAAATAGGGATAGGAGAAGTAGCATGGTGTCTTGGTTAACGGCATAAACCCTGGAGCCAGAATACATGAGTCTGAATCCTACCTCTCTCCAGTCATGTGGCTGTGGGCAAGTCATTCATCCTCTCTGTGCTTCAGTCCTTTCATCCATAAAATGGGGATAATAAGTAAACATTACCTCATAGGATGGTCGTGAGCATGTAAAAAGTGCCTAGAAATGGGCCTGACATAGGAATATACACTATATAAATGTTTCTTAATTTTTAAAAAATAGAGATAGTGGGAGGGTTTAATGCACCCATAGAAATAAAAATGATTAAAATAGAGCCTGGCTTGTGGTCTGCATTCGATAAATCCAGGCTAAAATTATTGTTATTATTATACTTAGTAATAGAGGCAACACCGGGCATCGTGTGAGCCCAGAGGAGGGGCTGCTTGGCACCGCCTTTGGCACACAGTAGGCCCTCAGCTTATTGAAATTACTTTA